TATCAACTCCAGCTCAGAGATCCCGGGCTCGCTGAAAGCAGGTTTCTGGGGTTTTGTTTAGCTTCTATATTTGTTATAATGTTTCTTAAACTTCAGGCTCCGAGGCCTGCAAGGCAGGCGGGGAACGTTGCAGTCCTCCATCACTGAAGCAAGCAAGCCTCATGTTAGTTTCAAGTTGCCTGGCTGCCAGCCGCCATCTTGGCTGGCAGTTAATTTGCATATCGTCCTGATTAGCCAATGGGAAGGGTATCGGTCATACGCCAATTACCATGTTTCTCTTTTATTAGATAGGATAAGTTGGTGCAAACAAGTGACCCTGGTTACAAGCCAACTCTTTTGAAATAAATTATAATAAAGTATAGTTTAAGAAAGAGAACAAAGTTACAGAACTTTTCAACTGTAAGACTTCACATGACTTTGTCAGCATTTCTTCAAGTTACCACTTCTTTTACTAACAAGACTACATAAAGAGGTTTTACGAAATATTTGATTAGCAAATATTTTTTTATATGGCTCAGTCCGACACATAGACTTGAGCTACATGAAATTACATAAAAAGAACCACATACAAAGTACAGAAAAGCCATACACTGAGAAACTCGCTGGGTCCCTAGTCCCCGTCCAGTGCAGTTCCTCGTGGTCTCCTATCGATAACCACCTTTAACTAGTTTCCTGCTTATCCTTCCAGTCCTTCTGTAAATATAAGCAAATGCGAATACATGTACTTATTTCCCTCCATCCGACCTTCCCTCCATCCGACCTGCATTTATACCTGTTATTTCTTCATTTACATATACTCCATTCCCATGCTACCTGCACTTCTACCCAGCTGACTACAAGTTCAGGGATTTCCACAGCTATCCACCCTCTTCCACAGGGATGATCATTCTTTTTTTTCTTTTTCTTTTTTAATTAATTGAAGAGAGGAAAAGAGGGAGAGAGATTGAAACAGCAATGATGAGAGAGAATCATTGATCAGTTGCACACCCCCTACCAGGGATTGAGCCTGCAACCCAGGCTGTGCCCTGACTGGGTATTGAACCCATGACCTCCTGGTTCATCATGGTTCATAGGTTGACACTCAACCACTGAACCACACTGGCTGGGTGACAGGAGTGATAAATCTTTAGAATGACGGACTATTCAAGAAAGTGCTATACTTACTATTATAATCTATAATAATAAAAGCGTAATATGCTAGCTAGACTGGACAGCCAAATGACCTTCCGGATATCATTCTGGATGAAGCTGCAGCAGTGGGGGCCGATGCAGAGGCAGTTAGGGGCGATCAGGCAGGCAGGCGAGTGGTTAGGGGCAATCAAGCAGGCAGGCAGGTGAGCGGTTAGGAGCCAGCAGTCCCGGATTGTGAGAGGGATGTCCAACTGCCAGTTTAGGCCCAATTCTGGCAGTCAGACTTCCCCCAAAGGGTCCCAGATTGCGAGAGGATGCAGGCCGGGCTAAGGGGGACCTCCCTCCCCATGCAGAATTTCGTGCACTGGGCCTCTAGTTTTATTATAAAGAGTACAGCTGAGAAACAGTCAAATGAAAGAGATACATAAAGCAAGTATAGGGGACAAAGAGTGCAGATCTGGGTGTGCCACCCTCTCAGCACCTTGGTGTATTCACCATCTTGGAAGCCTCTTGAACCTGATTGTTTAGGGTTTTTTATGAGATGTCATTGAGCTGGCATGATTGATTAAATCACCGGCTATTTGAACTCAAATCTCTAGTCCCTCTCCCCTTTCTGGGAATCAGTGAATGGATGGGCCTGAAAGTCCGTGCCTATAATCACCTCGCTGGTTTTTCTGGTGACCACCCTGAATCTGGAGGCTATATAGGATCTCCCAACCATGCCAAGACTCAGCCCTAGTGGAAAGGAACTCATGAATAATAGAAGACACTGCTATCAGGACATTCCAAGGGTTCAGGAGTTATGTAACAGGAAACAGACAATGATTAAATATATTTTTATTATGCCACAAAAGTAATAAAATTAACACACATACCTAATATCTAATTATCAGACTCTACTTGTTCCAGTCTGGTGGAAAAAGAATGGAATATTTTTCTCATGTTAATTGTATTTTCTTGATAACTAAGAGCTGAATATCTTTATGTTTCTTGTTCCTACATCAATAAAATGCCTTTTATATCTTTGTGCACTTTTCTGTTGTGCTATTTGTTGTTGTTTTTTTTCTTACAGATGGATAAGAATTAAATGAAAGTAACATGTATCTGTTAATGGACTGTCCTCTTTTATATCTCATTTAAGAAATTCTTCCCAGTTTTCAGAGTAAAAAATATATTCTCATATTTTTAATGAATGTTTTACTTTATTTAACGATAAATATGTGCATGATTCTGAACCTGTCAGATGTGAATATAAAGTGTAGTTAAGCATAGGAAATGGTTTTTGCCCCAAACACTAAAAAAAAATTCCTTTCAAAGCAATTCAATAAAAACCAAACTAATGAGCCTTTTAAGAAGTCATTTCTAATTTGGAATAGGGGTTTGGGATATCTTGGAAAAAAGCTGTACTGTGAGTTGAC